ACTCTGCATAGCAGTATGAATAGCCTTAAAAAAACAAACAACCCACTCCGTGGTAACGAGAGTCATATTTCTGACCCATATGCCCTAAGTGAAGCCGTTAGTCTCATCTAACTGACCCAAGGGTTGGTGCTGGTGTGACAGTTCCAAGTGTTCAGAATTCCAGCTTCCAGTTCATGGCTCGGTGGGGGGGAGCAGACCCACGTGAGACAGTGTCAATGGCTGTATTATTCAGTGTGAGGAGCGTCATTCTCTCTGGGAGCAGGAAATGGTGTCCATTCTCGGACCAAACCATTAATGTCATGTAGAGCAGCCATAGCATCTCTGTGACTGCACTCAGCCGGACTGTAGCAGGGTAGAACTGGGTGACTCTTAGTGAAGCTGTCCAACGCCATTAGACAAAATGGAACCACGTGCTAACAAAAAGGACACAGGGTCATAAATGTCTCTCTTTACCATTGGCCTAATCATAAACAAATTAGTGGGAAAAATGTGGAACACTAATCCATCATGTGGAATGTTGAGTTAATTTAAATAATTACTTATGGGTTGAAATCAAATTAACATTAACATTAGAACCAAAGTCAGTTAACAAATTTGACTTGCACAGATCAGTAATCAATACACCATTTTTTTTAGCTCCATGATGAAAACGATAACAGGCAGGGATGCAAAATTGTCATCAATAAAATATTATTGGGGTATGGACAGGGTTGCTAACTTTGGGTACCTGGCTGGAGTGAGATTTTGATATCATGGGTTTAATTACACACATGCGCACGAAGTGACTGCTATCGTGTCCGTAGCGGGACCTTAGCATATATTTAGGATATATATATATAATATATATATACAAATACACAATATTGGACACAGACTATAAAGGGCACACAGTTTCATTAAATAATGAAAGTCAAACACATGTTTGTTTCCACTGTTTTATTGTGTGCCTGTCGCGAAAAGCAACTTATTGACTTATCGGCTCCCGAGTATTTGTGTTAGATAATCTATGGTAGGGCTAACCCATACAGTGGTGGGGCTCAAATCAGTATTTGAAATGTAATTACATACACGCTATATCGCCCCCTTGTCAGTGAAACGCCACGCGTGAGGTTTAGAATATTTCCCTGTCTCAATCCAAATTGAACTGTATGAAATTAAAATAAAAAAAAACCATTTGTCTTGTAGTAAATAAAAAGGCGACCTGGAGCCAATCCTGCCATTTCCTCACAAGTGAAAGAGTTCACATGCTGAAAACCCAACCCCCGCAGGGGGTCTGGGGGGATTCTCCCCCAGGAGATTTTTGAAATACTAACATAAAATACACATTCTCTCTTTTAGAGGAAACAATAAATCCATCTATAACTACGCGACATATTTAAATGAAGCTGAAACTGCTGCTCCTCCCATAGGGAAGAGGCTGTGTGAATTACTTCGAATTACTTTGAAATTACCCCATTGTTCTTTGTGTCAAAATGGAAGGTTTCTGGCTAACGTTAGCTTAGGTACTCAGATCTTGTTCTTGAGTACAAGTAGAAGTACCAGAGTGTAGGAATACTAAGTTACAGTAAAAGTACTGCATTCAAAATGTTACTCAAGTAAAAGTATAAAAGTATTGTCATCAAAATATAGTGAAAATAGCGACAGTAAAAGTAGTCGTTGTGCAGATTGGTTTATTCCAGAATACTATATATGATATGTTTTATAATGATTGATCATGAAAGTGTTCTCAAAGCTGGTAAAGGAGAAGCTAGTTTGAATGACTTTGTATACTGCATACGGTAGCTGGTGGATTCACTCCAGGTGGAACTAAAGTCTGATTAAACACTTGATTAGATTTCACATCATTCATCCACATCTGAAAGTAACTAAAGGTATTAAATACATGTAGTGGAGTAAAAGTACACCATTTACCACTGAACTGTAGTGGAGTAGAAAAATAAAGCAGCAAAACATTTTAGATACTCAAATAAAGTACCAGTATTTCAAAATTGTGCCCAAGTATAGTACTTGTTAAGTTTATGAACTTAGTTACTTTACACCAGTGGCTATACTGATAGAAAGACTAAGCCATGCACAGAGGCATGAAAATACATTTTGAAAATGCTCAACAGTACTGGCAAAATTATAAACTGACTGCTGCAATTAGATGTTCCTCTTTGTGCTGTGGTCATAAAACCCCCAATGGGTCGCGCCGTGGTCTGCTTCAGATTATCTTCTCCTTCCAGAGGTCACGCCTGTCTCTGACCCCGTGTCTTGCGTTTTATTTTATTTTCTTCTTCTGCAGCACCAAGCAGAGTATAGAAAAGGATGTTGAACTATATTTAAAACTGTAATTGAACTTCAACTCATATCCATTATCTGATTCCAGTGGCCAGTTGGAAACAGATAATGACAAAGTTTTCATTTTGCATCAATCGTGCAAAAAGGTTCAATCACCATTGTGTCTAAGTCTTGTCTTATCTGCTTTGTTTCGGAACGTGTTCAATACATTAGGTTATTTTATTTTCATTATTACCATACAATACATAGATTAAGAATAAATGAAACAAATAATACAACATTGACCTATTTGAGCAGACAGATGACCCGCAGTTATGCCTCTGAGGTTCCCGGGTGTAAAACAGAGGCTTTTTTTGCTATTTATTTTCCTTTTGCGGAAATTTAGATTCATTTTACCTTGGCTGTGGACTGATTAATTATTAGTTGTTAAAAAACATGCACAAGACGGCATATACAAACAAACACGAAACAATTATACAAACAAACATGAACCCGCAACAAATATCAGGTGACAGCTAAACTCATCCAGTTTAATTTTAATCCGAATTAGGGAAACTTCAGCGGGGGTAGGGAAATATCAGTACTTATTTTTACTTATTGTTTTTTTTATTTATTTATTTTTTTTTATTTTATTTTTTTTAAACAAAATCCAATTCAATAATCCGTAAGTTTATTAAACACAGTGTGAATGTAATATTCTGCCACCACCCTTCCCATTTAATAGCTCAATTTAGTTCTTGAGCTTATGGTGTGATTAACAGAAAATACAAGTCTGTGTTGTTAAACATTAATTCAGTTGATGAGCAATAAACTACCTTATTCTCAATCAAAACCACTATGCAAATGTAGTGGTAAAACTGCTCAACCGACCGAGAGCAGAGATATTAATTAATTTAATTAATTCTAAGAACGGAATCTGCTGAAGAGTAATAACCACATTATTCTCAATCAACAACCACTATGCTAATTTAGTGGTGCTCTGCCCTCCCCGATCCGGAGAGCAGAGACTTTTAATGAATTCAGTACCCTTTATTTGAACAACAGCCAAATTCAACAACCCCTCAGTTTATGAAACACAGCGTGACGTAATATTTCGTATCACGTTTCCCGTTAATAAGAGTTCTGTTTAGTTCCAAAACTCATAATGGTGCGATTTAAGAAGATACGACACTGTGCTTTGTTTATCCTCTGCTGCTCCCCACAGGGGGGGGGGAGGGGAATTACCCACACCCTCTTCCTGCAGCAGCAACAGGGTGATTTTGAGGCGAGTTGATTTAACTAGTTAAACCGTTGAAATCTCCAGAATTCGGCGATTCGTTTCAGTACAAATCTTTACATTGCTTTTAAACCGAAGTTCCACATTACTGATGCCCTCTTTAAGGTCTCTCCGAATATTTGCCGTGCACACACACAGAGGAAACCAAAAATATTGCATCTATCTGTTCCACAGGTAATTTTATACCGTCAATCACAGAGTCTGGCGAGGCAATGTCAAAATATAGATTTGAAATTACACTCACCAGCTCGACGATTTGTTGGTAACCGTTCGTGACACCAAAATGTGAAGTAAAAACTTCTTTGCAGCAATGTTGAGCGCATCATCAAATGAGGGAAACTGGATTCACCTGTAGATACACTGATATTTATTGAGAGACAGACAATTACATACGGCCGGGAAATCATCCTAGTTTCACACTGTCCTTGTGCTCCACCAAGGTAATCTCTGCCCCAAAAGCCACAAAACATCTAACCAACACGAGGAGAGGCGGGCTCCCAGAAAGCCCGCGTATAATCAATAGCCGATGCGAGACAATGGTCTGCTTGTCTCAAAGAGATGCTGCCAGGTCAACCCCCCACGGACATAGGAGAAGCGTTTGACCTGTGACCTCAACCTATAGAGGAGTCTCTGACTGACTACAAGCAGATGTTTGCAGTATCACAGATTCTATAAAACAATAAGAAACTCTATAAACAGATCAGATGAAAATATTCTCTTACAGAGAGGGTCGGGGGGTGGAAGAGTTACAGAGGTCAGAAGACTCCTGATGAATTACACTGACTGATATCTGATCAATAACATTGTGTATCAGCTCTGTATATAAGGGAATGTAAGGGCACCTTCACCAGCTCCATCATATCTTTGACAAATCCATCCACCTCAGGGCCCTCCAGCTCACCCGTCTTACTCTATAGAAGGAGGCATACTTTTTAATTCTCTCAGTGTTTGTTTTTGATTAACAGTTACACACATGCCTAACAGGACCTATACACATTAGGCCCAAAATACAAACATATGCATTATATGACATCAATTCAGCAGCATGGAATAAAGCATAAACTGCAATGTTTCTGAAGATGTTGTTTTAAGTGATACAAGTTTGTCATGTGTAGTCCAATAAACCTCATTAGGAGTCTGACACTTTGAAATAATATTGGACACTCATCCTTGAAAGTTCTCATAGCCTTTAAGTCATCAAACTTTCAAATGTTAAGTGAAGAACATTCTTAGTCAAGTCTTTTAAACTTGCTGGTCAATACATATATTTGCATACACATTACTGTGAGCTGCTGTTCACAATGTTATTGTACCTAGCCAGGAAAACAAACACCTGAAGTTCAAAGGAAACAAGCAAGTGGTTGTGGACATGTTCAGGAAGTAAGGGTGCAGCACTGTCTACAGCACAGCACACAAGTCAAGTTTCAAATAACATCCAAAGAGAGTGTGTTCCAAGTATTTTATTAAATTCAAAGTTGATGCCAGTTCAGACTTCTTCCAGGCAAGTTCAGGAACCTGAGAACAGAAAATACAATTTAGAACATTTGCAAAGCATTTCCCTTACTTCATTGTAGCAATCTTTAAGTTAAACCAACTTACAGTTAGGAAGGTCAATGATGTCTGTTCTACACTGGCACCAGTTGCTGCGGCCACCTGGGCTGGTACGGGAATGGCATTGGAATTTCTCTCAAACTACTTGGGTCAAGATTCAAGTGCGAGTTTGAGTCAGTGGGCTGCACATTAGAGCCAGAAGCAACACTTCCTTGGGAAGGAAAGTTCCACATGCCAGCTTTACTTTGGAGCACCCATTGCAGGGGTTTGGCCTGCTGAGGGTTTGAAGGGTATGCAGGCTGGTAGGGCTTGGCCTGCTGGGGATTCGAAGGGTAGGAAGGCCGGTAGGGCTTGGCCTGCTGAGGATTTGAAGGGTCGGCAGGCTGGTAGGGCTTGGCCTGCTGAGGATTCGAAGGGTATGAAGGCCGGTAGGGCTTGGCCTGCTGAGGATTTGAAGGGTAGGAAGGCTGCTGGGGTTTTGGCCGGTACCTAGACTGCAGGGGATTTGAAGGGTCGGCAGGCTGGTAGGGCTTGGCCTGCTGAGGATTCGAAGGGTATGAAGGCCGGTAGGGCTTGGCCTGCTGAGGATTTGAAGGGTAGGCAGGATGCTGGGGTTTGGGTTGGTACCGAGACTGCAGGGGACTTGAAGGGTTGGTAGCCCGCTGGGGATTCAAAGGGTTTGCTGGCTGGTAGGGCTTGGCCTGCACATTAGAGTCAGAAGAAACACTTCCTTCGGAAGGAAAGTACCACATGCCAGCTTTACTTTGGAGCACCCCTTGCAGGGGTTCGGTCTGCTGAGGCTTGGCCTGTTGAGGATTTGAATGGTAAGAAGGCTGCTGGGGTTTTGGCTGGTACCTAGACAGCAGGGGACTTGAAGGGTTGGTAGCCCGCTGGGGATTCAAAGGGTAGGCTGGCTGGTAGGGCTTGGCCTGCTGAGGATTTGAAGGGTATGAAGGCTGGTAGGGCTTGGCCTGCTGAGGATTTGAAGGGTATGAAGGCTGGTAGGGCTTGGCCTGCTGAGGATTTGAAGGGTAGGAGGGCTGGTTGGGCTTGGTCTGCTGGGGTTTGGGCTGGTACCAAGACTGCAGGGGATTTGAAGGGTTGGCGGCCTGCTGAGGTTTGGGCTGGTGGGGCTTAGGGTTGTAGCCGGCCTGCTGGGGCTTTGGACGGTTTTTGGGCTTCTGGGGCTTGGAGTAGGGACCAGAGTGCATCACAATTGCAGAACTTGAAGCAATACCAGACTGAAAAGAGTTTGGATTATGGGGCAAAGGGAAAGCCCACGGGGCAGCTTTGCTTGGAAGGACACCATTTGCACTAGGGTTAGCTTGAGGTAGTTGGTTTGGCTTACGAATTATTGGTTGGCTTGGCCCGTAACTAGAAACACTTCCCTCAGGACTGTAACCACCTACTTGCCTTCCATGAGAGCCACTATAACCTCCTGCACTTGGTGCAGCAGCTGGCTTCAGAGTCTCAGATAAAGCCCCATCAGCATGAAAGGGTGAATAACTACCCAAAACCCTCTCAGGCTGTGCTGAACTATCATCACTGGAAGTGGAAGAGGGTTTAAGGCTTCTTGAAAAATCAAAGTGAGGTGTAATGCCACTGGAGCCTCCACTTCTGTAGCTGAGTGCTAAAAGGAGAACACATTTTTTAAAAGACAGCCTTAGAGGAAAATTATACATTTCAAGTGCAGCTTGTGAACCATAAATCCTTACCCTTTGCTTGCTGCCCAAAAGTCAAGAGTGAGATCACAAGAACTCTAAGAAAAGAGGAATTAAACATGAGCCAACCAAAAACAGTTAAGTAGAATACATATAAGAAATCTGCCAAAATAAGAATATCTTACCTCACACACAATCCAAAACCCATTTTTGTTGTAAAACTGAAACCAAACAGTCTGTAAGCGGTGTGCAGCAAATACAAAAATAATCTATTATTTCAGATTCATGACTACTGCAAAGACAGTGGTCCTTTTAAAGTGTCGTTTCATGAGCTGACCAATCATCGCACTGATGAAGTCATTGGAATCAGCTTGGGAACTCCGCCCTCTGGCAACCTGGGCAGGTGTCCACACTTTAGCTAATTTGACACATTTCAACATTTCATTCTGTCAGCAGATCTGATTCAAAAGTCAGTTTAACCAAATGATAACCTTTACCTGGCCGCTAGGCAAAATTCCCCTGACAGGCGATAATAGTTTGATCGTAGTTTTGTTTTTGTTTATTGAGGTTTTGATTTAATTTTCCTCCTTCAATTCCACAGAGGTTTTAGTAAGACCCAGAAACTAAGACCTAAAAAGTGTAAGCTTTTGATCTTAAAACACTATGAAATGACAAGCTGTATTCAAATCAAACACATATATATATGTATACATATTAACATATGTTTAAGATTTAATTTATATATATGTTCCACTGCAAATAAGATATTGTTCTCTTCCACTGAAGTTGAGATCTTATGGGACCTTTTACCACTGTATGATTACTTAAAAACAAATGTTCTTGTGATTTGAAAATGATTTTGGAAGTGTTTTGGCTTATTGAAAACCACATATTTTATATCACTGCTTATAATTAGACTCAATTACTGTAAATGTTCTTTCCTCCAAGCAGCCATTGATTATAGGGCCCTATAAAAGTCACCTGCAGTGACTGAAAGCACTTTTAGGAGCACACTTATGGTTTCAGTAAAGAGAGACACAGCTGACAAAGACACAAACTATTTAATTAGCCATCATTCATGATACTGGTTTCACAAAAAATGTAATTCAAACAATGTTTCATTATTTTTTACATTACAAAGAAAATAAACTATTTCTATGTCCCAACATTTACCATTATTTCAATTGCTAGATATTTTAATATACATATTATAGCAATATATAACATATTATATATATGAGCATAACACATGTAGATACATCATTCTTAAAACACCAACTGAGAGCCACTAATTGAGGCGATACTGCTAAAATAGGGAGGTAGAAGTAATGATTTAGACTGGAGTAAAAGAGTATAGTAAAATATACACATTTAAATTGAAAAAGGAAATAATTTAGAACTGTACATAGAGAGAAGGAAGATGGAAAGAAGGATAGAGGAAAGAAAGAAAAAGCTGAGTTTGAGGCCGAGGCAGAGAGCCAGCTCGTTCTTCTGGATCTTTCCGTCTCCGTTGATGTCGCAGTGACCCATCAGAGCTTTCCTGAACTTGTCCAGGTCTGTGCCACTGATGCTGGGCTGGAGGAGAGTGTGAAGTAAAAACTTCTTTGCAGCAATGTTGAGCGCATCATCAAATGAGGGAAACTGGATTCGCCTGTCAATACACTGATATTTATTGAGAGACAGACAATTACATACGGCCGGGAACTCATCCTAGTTTCACACTGTCCTTGTGCTCCACCAAGGTAATCTCTGCCCCAAAAGCCACAAAACATCTAACCAACACGGGGAGAGGCGGGCTCCCAGAAAGCCCGCGTATAATCAATAGCCGATGCGAGACAATGATCTGCTTGTCTCAAAGAGATGCTGCCAGGTCAACCCCCCACGGACATAGGAGAAGCGTTTGACCTGTGACCTCAACCTATAGAGGAGTCTCTGACTGACTACAAGCAGATGTTTGCAGTATCACAGATTCTATAAAACAATAAGAAACTCTATAAACAGATCAGATGAAAATATTCTCTTACAGATTCACTCTTTTTATCAATCTATTGATAACCAATTAACATTAGTCTAAGAATATTTCAGTCAATACTTAAAATCAATAAGCGTCTTCAGAGTTGGGTGAGCTCAGATACATTCATTACATTAAAAATAGAACAAGATTGAAAAACATTTCAATCACCCTGATTGAACACAGTCAATCATAATAAAAATCATCTCTCTTCAGTGCTTGGCATCTTTTGTCAAAAGGCACAATAATAAACACATGAAATACAACAATATTATAGCAAAATATATGTTTCAAAAATAAGATATTTTATCATTTATCACTCAGTTAATCTCATTCATCAAACACAAATTCTAAATCATCTTACATCTCAAAGATTTACTTTAAGGCAATTACTTATTAAAACACAATTAGAATTTAGGATTTATAATAAATCCAATTGAGGTATTAAATCAGAATCATGAGAGATCCAGCTAAGGTTCCTAGTTAAGGTATACATTCACAGTGATGAATCGATCAATCTGTAATCTGTAAAGTTACAGTGTCCTCAATCTTTAACATTACTTTACGTTTACTTCATTACGCTTTATTCAAGAGTAAGGCATGATATTTAATTAATTACATTACTTCAACTATCAATCATTATGTCATTTCAAAATCTGAAGGGAAAACTAAACAATTCTCAAAATGTTTAACAATCTGAAGAATCAAACATTTTATTGTATAACGACCTGAAAAGGAAAAAATCAAAACATCTGTTCTTTATTCAGAGCATCAACTGTAATCAATATCAAAACATCTGTTCTTTATTCAGAGCATCAACTGTAATCAATATCAAAACATCTGTTCTTACCTGGTAATGATTAAGGATAGTAACATTGTCTGTTATAATATTAGAAATATCTTATTGTCCAATACCTTATAAATCTGAAAATATCAATTAATTAATTAGTTTAGTGTGAAAGTGTAATCTGATAAAATATATTTATCACCACTATTTAACACATATCTGTTCATTGGGAATACAAAAACAATCATTAATTGTACATCTGTAATCATCTGGTCATTCAATTCAAATGTTATCTTTGTACGAGAGCTAGAAGACATGTTTTCCTCCTCTCTTTATGACACAGAATGTCTGGTGTGTAAAGGCATCCTGATACTGTAGATTAGCACTGAGGTGCTGATTGGCTCAAAACTCTTCTTCATCAGAGCGCCATAACTCAATTATCTGTAGATTAGCACTGAGGTGCTGATTGGCTCAAAACTCTTCTTCATCAGAGCGCCATATCTCAATCCCCCCCAATTGCTCTGCTTTTGTGGCTCAATTCAGTGAGCACTTTATGATCTCCCAGTGAAACAGAGGCTCATCTGCCTGCATTCCTTCTGCTATCTGCTTGAGAGCAGTGCACCTGCCTATTCCAAGTGGCACATCCAGATGCCCCCCCCCCCTGTGATGGGAGAGGTTATGAAAACATCTGCTCCTCCAAGAAACATGAAAACCTTGTATGACGACCTCTGAAACCATCGCTCGTCCTGCGAGCGAAAATGAAGAAGCATCCCATCTCATCAGAAAGTTGAAGATTAGAATCCTCTCATCTCGAACAACCTCCTTGCCCGTGGATAAGTTGCTCTCTGCAGCCGCAGAGTGTGATCCTCTCTCTCTGACCCTTGGCCTTCAGAGCTCTCCTAGTTATTGGGTTAACACTTGATAGGGATGTTTTCCTGAGTGCAGACAACTCAAGGTAATGGATTAGCACATTATCATTCAATTACAAAAATAGGATAGGCCCCCTCAGAATGATTTGGGAGCCTTCCTGAGACATGCACATTATAAATGTAAGGTTTGTGTTAGTCATTTAACATGCAAGAATCCTATACTCATCAGTCCAAAGCAGAGAAATGTTATTTTAAGTTAAATGTGAGCTAGTCCCTGTGGAATAACCCTTTCTCAATGATTCTAGATGTTATATTAATTCACCATTTACCGTTTGATCAAGGATTAGTTTATCAGAAGTACATTTCCTCTTCCATAAAACATAGGTTTGAGAAATGAATGTTCCAATATGAAATCAATTTCTCAATTTCTCAATATAATTTGACTCTTCCCCTCTTTTCTTACATATTGTCACATATGAAATAATAACTCAGGAGTCTATTTAAGCATGGTATTGTCTATATAAGCTATTAATCGAGAAAACTCAGAGTGAGTATGCAACTCGCAAATATCTCTCCTCCTTCCTATCCCTCTTTACTCACTTTCCCATCTCTTTCTCTCTTATTTCTGTTAGATATGAAGGAAAAACATACAAGTCCATGTAAGCATCTGAGTTACCACCGTTACAAAACGGTGTGCCGTGAGGCAAGTCCGGGTGTGCCGTGGGATTTTGTGACAACCATACATTATTTTTTCAATATACAACTACACAAAAATAATCATTTATTTTTCAATTGACTATATCAGTGCTTTGTAGGTTTATGTATGTAATCTGCGCGACTTGCGCGTCCACATCTCCACGTGCAGTGCTGCATAAACATGGCTGAGTCAGCGATAACTATCGAGGGGTGGAGGTATGCCCATTATTTTTTATATCACGCAGTCTATTCTTCTTCTCTGTCTTCCGGTTGTTGCCTGTATTAAATGACAAATACACACTACCGCCATGGATTTGATATGAACGAGGCGGCAGTTAGCAGCTAGCGGCTAGCTAGTAATGATGTAGTGATATCGGTAATATTAACTCCATTTAATACAACATTTACGGTACAAGATTCAATCATACAGCCCATGTAGTATGACAATGAATTACAGCAAACATGTGCAATATATCCATTATTACAGCTCCGTGGGATGGCAGTAAGACGATATGGATCCGTTCCCATTGTGCATCCATGGGTAAAGATAAACGCAACTCACATTGGTTCCTCATACAGCATCTCTGTAAACTACGTGTATTCACTGAATTTCACTCTCTGCCTTTAACGCTCGTTGTAGCTCCAAAAGCTCCAGCCAGAGCCTGGCTCCAGCACCCTCCCTGTGAGCACAGTGTGCTCTGATTGGTCGGGACACGTAACATGAACGTGCCGGGCTGCGCGGTCCCGTGGATTAGATGCGCGTTCATAATGCAGAGGGAAATAACTCTCAGAATAATGTTATTAGCAAATGTTTTACAACTTGAGGAACGAATGTTTTTTAATAAGGGCTATACAAGTGTTCATACTGGGTAGTTTATTTAGTTAAAAAAATTATCCAACGAGTTACAGAC